ACCATTTAATTATTTTATAACCTAGAAAGTTATTTCTTTAATTAAATTATGAATTTATGCTTTCCTTAAAACTCGAATAATTTAAATATTTAATCTCTTATTTTTTAGACTGCACTTTTATTCTGGTAGAATGCTTGCTTACTTAAACATTTTCTTTCTTTTTTTTTCTAATTCTTTATCATTACAAACTTCTTCAGCCTCATAATTACAGTGTGTACATGTATTTGAAAAAAAAAACCATTGTTAATAATCTTAATAATTAAAAGTTTGTTAAAAAGCAGGATGAAGAAAAAAAATCATGAAAAATAAAATTTTATCTAGGATCTTTAGATTCTTGACAATTTTAATGAAGATTGGTTCATATTATATTCGTATCTACCTTTTTTCCCCTGTAATATGTAGCTATTATATTTTTACGCTACCTACTTGCTTATATATACAAATTAAGAACAGTAGGTTGAATTAATATACCGCAATAGGCCATTTTTTTTTTGCTATGATTCTTTGTTTTGAATTTAACTTGGAAATCCTTATCTTCATATCCTTTATACTTACTTTAATATAAACAAAGTACTTCGCCTATTCTTCAAGAAAAATAATATGTTGCAACAAAGTTATTTCTTAAGACACTTCCTTTAAATATTGTACTTTCAACAGGAAAAATTTTTCGACTGTAGAAAACACATTGAAAATTTTTTTAATATGTTGGCGTATATTAGCTTAAGGAAGCATAAAATTTTATGAAAATATGTAAAAATTTAAAGATGCATAACAGCATTTTAATTTTCATGATTGATTTTACAATTAAATGCAAAAAAAAATGCTTCAGCATAAACTTGATTCCTATTTCATCACAGACTTTCTTAATAATTTTAATTGAACGGATGGGAAGTTTAGTCAATTCTCATTTAATTATTAAATAAATATAAGAGAATATTTGAAGAAAAATTCTCGAGAAAATTTCAACTACTTTACGATTTATTCATCTACTTTATACCTACATTTATATCTGTTTAAATTTTGCTCTAGTACCAAGCAAAAATCTATAGCTTTCACTTTTCTGAAATTTCTGAGGTATTTTATGATATTAAACCCTATTAACTTTAAAACCTCCGATTTGCAATGTAATTTCTCATACACGAAAATAACACAACCGTTGTAGAAATCTGGAAAATCGAATCCCAAAACTGAAAACTAGAAAAATTTAAACATCTTATTAGCGAAATGCACCTCAAACTTTGACTGGGTTTTCATTTTCCATTTCCCACCATGTATAAGAAAATATTAAAATGAAATTTTCTTATGCAAGTATGAAATGAAAATCTTTATTTTAACATCTTCGCCCTCGAAGCACATTTATAAACTATCCGAAAAGATTAGATCTCAAAATGGGGACCTATACTTTAGATCACAAAATGGGGACCTACACATTTGATCTTTAAAAGAAAATTTTATCTAAAAATTTATAACTGAATTTTATCGAATCCGAAAATAAGTTCATCATTCTTTATTTCTCATTATTCTTTCAAAATCTCAATTCAAGTATCATCAAAGAAAATATCGCGCACATTTGAAGGTACAAAAATAATTGTGAATTGCTCAAACATAAAAATTTTTATGAAATTCAAAAACATTTGCCATTATAACAGAACTTTGCTATCTAAAAATAGCTATGTATATGATTATGTTAAGGTCAAAAGTTGTGAAAAACAAAAGTATTACCAAATAAAAGCCATAATCAAGATTCCCAAAATCAGATATAGTAAAATATTAGGGCAAGGACAAAATGAATAATTTTAAGAGGGTATAACGTTTTAAAAAATGTCCTAGATTTTCTTATTCAACATACAATACTCATCAGTACCTTTTATCAGTACGGTAACAAAAAACAATCTCTCAAATAAAAATTTCATAAATCTTTTACAATAGTGCCATAATCTTTTCAATATAACCCTTGCTTTTATTTCAATTTTAATCTCCTTTTTTTCTTGTTTGTTAATAAATAAAAATTTAAATGGTTTTACATATACGCTATGTACTTGTATGTATAACTACAAAAATTGTATTTCACTTCGAAAGTAATAACCGTCATGTCTGACTTTCATCATGACTCAAATTTTTTTCTAAATGCAATAAAGTAAGACTACATTTACATACACAACTGCACTCATTAATATTTTAACATTCATACTCATATAAGAATCATTTTATTTAAATTGTAATAAAAAATGTCAACTATTTGTAAAAAAAAAAAGAAAAAAAACAAACGAGCGTGTAAAATCCTTCGTGATTACAAGCCTCCTTCAATCAAGATTTACACGCATCATAGAGCATTCATTTTATTGTTTTACATATAATAGGTCTGAATATCCTTGTTCTGTAACAAAATTTTGTAAAAGTTCATGCATATTCACATATCTTATAGATAAAATAGATAACAAATAAAACGAAGCTCTTTACAAAATATAAACATATGTATGTATGTGTTTAATTTATGAACATTCAATTTTGAATTATATTAGTCAGACAATAATATGACATATACTCATATGAAAATTAACTGGGAGAGAAAATATAGAATGACCTTTTTTTGCCTTCAACTTATTCAGTCTTAAACTATCTCTGTATATGCGAGTACATTCTTTTCCTTGCCTTAAAGTATACATGCACCTAGTTTTTTCTTTATACTTTTAATTGGATCCTGTATAAATACATTGCTATATACACCTATATATATATGTATGAACAAGTCAATAGTGGGTTGAATAGGTCTTTTTGTTGAGTAAAGAATATAAAATTAATGCAATTTTAATTTACTTACAAATTGTATTAGATTGTAATTGAAATGAACAATGAATAAAAGAAGAAACAAAGTCTGCTTACTTAAAAATAGGGCACCATTAAATCAAGTTGTTGTACTGGTAAATGATTATGGATATTACTATTATTGACATTACAATCAAAATAGATAAAACCCATTTGTTATGCAAACTAATGTGGTAGTGACCAGTAAATTTGTCAAAGAAGGACACACAAGTACACATCTTTTCCCTAATAAGGAAGATTTAACATATTTTGTAAGATAAGTTTAACGCAAACTCTTTCATCATAAATTTGTAACGGAATGGTGTTTTTCCGTTTTAAGGAGGCGCGTAAACGACTATTTTTCCTACGAAATTAGCTTAAACTTATTTAGGAGAAAATCGGAACATATCTGTATCTGAGCGATTTGGATCAATAGGTTGTTTTTCGGTATAGTACATTAGATTCTAGGAAACAGGCTTTTACTTTATAGCCCTTATTAAACTTTCGACGATATCTAATTAAATAACTAACTAGTCGAACTCTCTCTGTTTGTATGCAATCTTTGAATTTAAAATTTAAGGACTTTAAACGGTGAAGCTCTACATTTCTTCAAATACTTAATTTATAAAGAAACGGATACTCTAAAATTCCCGGGTTTATACAATTATTTCCACAGACATTATTTTTATGTTATTATCTATTTTAAATCATTGAAAATAATTTTCTATTATTTTTATAATGATTTTTATACTATCCAATATTTTCGTATTAATTTCACCTTTGTCTGCAGTTTCAAAAGAGATTAATCCGTGTTGATAATTCTAATTTTTCTATTTGCTTGTTTTTTAAAGAAAGTCAATAGACTTTGATTTATTCTTGTATAATATAGCTATCGTTATGTATGATTGAAAATCTGTATTCTAGGTGATTGCATGAATAATCGAAGAAAAAATATATTGTTGAATAAATAGATATAGTTGTACACGTCAAAAGCTGTGAGTAAAATGTCGGTGAACTAAATTCTTTTTATTCTTAAAAATTTACCACGTATTCTTTTACCATATCTGGTATATCGAATCTGTTTTTCTTATAATTAATTGTGTCTGCACACTGTTATCATAGAGAAAGATTCTCACACTGACTTCACACTTTTGTTTTTTTTATTCCTTCTAGTCTACTCTGCAGTATTAAATATTAATTTTCAATGTAATTATTAATTAATATGTAACACATTTAATGAAATGAATCTCATATATTAATAATAAATTTACCCCATTATGGTCTTTTGTCAGTTTGATTTTCAGATATTACACAAATGTTCTTTGACATTTAATTGCAAATTTGTTGAATTATAAACTATAATTAAGGAAAATATCCAAAATAGTAAAATTGTATACAGTTTAGTACGATCAAATGCCTTCAGTTTTTATAATATCATCAATTTATAATATCACCATGATCATTTAAAACCGACAACTATTCATATTATAAACCGGAATATTTTCTATATACCCTGTATTAGAAAGGGTAGAGATAAAGACTTAATTCTGTATTCTCACTAAATGAACAAAAAGTGGATGAATATCGTTTATTCGTATAATTTAATTTTCAAGTGAGAAGTTTTTCATATTGCATTTTCCGTTTTTTCTAAAATGTATACAAAATTCAGTTTTCATTCGCTCACACTGTTTTTGAAAGCGATAAGTTGAATCGATAATTTCAAACTTACAACTTCTACACTACACCTTTCTCGTACATAAGAATTGAAAAATATTTCCATTCAGATTTCATAAACTTGCTGTAGCACAATGTTTACGGTGAGTACTATAGAACTACGATCTAGCTAAATAAGAAACATTAATATTCTGTCAAGAGAAACTAAATAAATTTTTTTTTAATATCTTGAAAAGCCTTCATAAATTCGGTCTAAATAAATATCTTAAAATCATGCAAGGACATAATATTCGTACATATATATATACTTAACGAATTTTGATATTATAGCTAGAATTTTATCAACTATAACTTAAATTTTATTTTCAACTAAAATTCCACATACTTAATATCGTTGGTATTATGGAAAAGTTACGGAAATGCTTACAAATTTTATTTTTGTTTTGTATGTTTTTGAATAATATTTATAAGAATTCTCAAACTGTATAATTTGACAGTTTTTCTCTTTTTCACTTTTACAGTTTTGGAACCATATTTTCCACCACGAGATGTTGCAATCAAATACAACACAAATCCAATAGATTTTTATGACACGATTGAAGAAATTGGAAGGTAAGCTGAAAGTTTTTTAAATTTTCATTAAAAAATCTTTAAACTCAAACAGATTAAATAATTTTGTAAAATTTTATATTGGCAAGAGCTAATTAGCAATTTTTAATTTATAAAATTTTTATTCTTTTAAAATTGGGCCGTATTACAATGTTTATTTTTAGAACATTGTTTTGTCCTTAATAATTTAAATTGTGTATAATTTGGTCAAAGAGGAACAATGAGACTGCACTTAAACTCTCATAAATTTCAGACTGACTGATAGCTTCCATTTTTATTTAAAAAAATATTAAACAATTTAATCTTCACATAATAACTTCAACATCGTTTGTTGCAGAAAGCACTAAACCTAATTAAATAAAATTAATTGAACTGAAAATTTTTTTCTTATTAAAAATAAATTTTCTCCTATTCTACTTTTCACCGCTAGTCTTAATCCAATAAATTATCAACATCAATGCATTCAACATTTTTTTTCTCATATCTTTTCTCATATTATTCACATAATTTTTATTTTTATATTCTTTTATCATGTTTTTTTTTATTTATTCTTTTTTCATAATAGAGGAAAATTTGGCACAGTTTATAAATGCAGAGAAAAATCGACAGGTTTAAAATTGGCAGCAAAATTTATACCAATACCAAAACGTGAAGATAGACGTAATGTTGAACGTGAAGTTGAAATAATGAACTCATTGCAACATCATTTAATTATACAGTTATATGCAGCTTTTGAATATCAGAAGATGATGTACGTTATACAAGAATTGTAAGTGAACTCTTTTAAATAATTGGAATTTTTATATAATATTGTATAATATAGGAAACGTGTCCTATAATATTACCGGTGCACTGTTAGTAGAGTAATAGTAGATAATGTTAATCATTAAAATAATATCACTGAAATTTTATTTCAGTAAATAAACAGATAAAACAAGATCTTAAATGGGGTCCAACATCTAAATTTGAAAGTTTACCTTTAAATATTTGTTTACTTTACGAATTAGCGCAATATATACTAAGCGGAGTAGCAGTAGTCATTGTTATATTACAGTTCGATTGAAATTTGACTATGAATTGATAACCACATGACTTGAAACCGCAATTTCAATTAAAATTAAATTATGAAAATTAGGAAATAATTCATGAAACTTTAAAACACTTTTTAGAATTACATAAAATTTGAATTATACTAAAATTTCTTAGCATAACATATCAAGTTTAAGCTTAGGTTCAAAAACTTAAGTATAAATTTTGAATAGACAAACCGTGAATTAAATCTTATATGGAAAAATTTCCTATTTTTCTACGTGTTCAGAAACTGAAATTTTTTTTTGTTACGGCACAAAAAGTTGCCAAATTATCGTATCTGGACTTTATATAAACAGACCGTACGAGAGAGCTACACTAACAAATAAAAGGAAAACAGTTTTGTCCAATTTTGCTGGAAATGTACTGGAAGAGCATCAATATACCTTGATATTTTCTATTTTTTTTTCATTTATTAAAAAGAAAATAATATATTTTATCCTTTTATTCTTCATTAATATTAAATTTCCAGAGTTGAAGGTGGTGAACTATTTGACCGTGTAATTGATGATGAATTTGTTTTAACCGAAAGGACATGTACAGTTTTTATGAGACAAATATGTGAAGCAATGCAATTCATACATTCGAAATATATTTTACATTTGGATTTAAAACCGGAAAATATTTTATGTTTAACAAAAGAAGGAAATCGTATTAAAATTATTGATTTTGGCTTGGCCAGAAAATATGATCCAGATAAGAAATTACAAGTAAGTGAACAGAAAAAAATATTTTTTTTTTGTAATATTTTTCATATTTATTGTTAATGTTCTCGACACACAAGTAATATAAAACGTTATGGTAAAAGAAACCTTGAAATACTTATAGAATTTCAAAAATTTCCCATAATTATACTGTAATGTGTGAATATGTGTACATTTATGTACTGATTAAAATTCGAATATTGCAATTAAGATTCGAAAAGTAAAAAATAATTAAAATTTTAACAACGACCACATTTTTTTGTATTTCTCATATATGGATAATCAATATCACATGATTTTGATAATGATGTTGTTATAGTCATTGGTGATGCCCATCTTAATAAATAAAATGGTGAACCAGCCTTATCATTTGTACCAGATAGTTTTGCACCGCCAAAAGGTTGTTGACCTACTATAGCACCTGTAGATTTCTCATTTATATACAAATTACCACATGATGTTATCATTTTATCCATAAAATACTGAATGAAAGTCTTATCTTCAGCAAATAATGAACCTGTTAATGCGTATTTTGAATTATTCATCATATTTAAAACATTTTCCGTATCTTTCTCTTCATAAGGATAAACTGTTAATATTGGACCAAAAAATTCATTGGTGAAAAGTTGATCATTTATATTTTTACATTCAATTATTGTTGTTTCTATAAAATATCCTTCATTATCATTGCATTTTCCTCCATATATTAATTCAGCATTATTATTACAACATATTGATTTTATTATATTTTGTAATTTTATAAAAGATTTTTTATCAATTACTGCTGATGTAAAAGTTTCAAAATCACTTACTGGTCCCATTTTTAATTTCATTAATTCTTTTATCAATTTTGTTTTCATTGTATTCCAATGACACTTTGGTATATAAAGGCAAGAGCATGCTGAACATTTTTGCCCACTATATTCGAATGCTGAACGAATTGTACATGAAATTAAATTTCCTGACTGCATCGGGCAGGATGAATGAACAAAATGAAAATTTTTACCACCACATTCACCAATTAATCTTGGATAAGTTTTATATTTGTTAATGTTTTTTCCAACTGCTTCATATAAATTTCGAAAAGATGAAACAGATCCTATAAAAATTTAAATTACAATATTATTTTATTATTATCAAATTATAATTAAAATCTGAGAAGAATTATCTGAGGAGAATTTTAAATTCCTATGATTTACAATTCCTAAATGAATGAAATTCCACCTGAACTCTAAGCCAAAGTTCAAAGTGTATCTTTTTATATCAAAATAATTTAAATTACTACCTGTAAAATTTATAGCGGCCAAATCAGGAGATGATGTAATTTCAGTTCCAAAAATTTGTGGACAACTTGGTAAAAAATTTACAACACCAGGTGGTACACCGGATTCTCTCATAATTTTAAAAATTAACCAATTTGATAAAATTGAAGTATCCGATGGCTTCCATAATACAACATTACCCATTAAAGTTGGTGTAAAAGCTAAATTTCCTCCAATTGCAGCAAAATTAAATGGAGAAATCGAAGCAATAAACCCATCTAATGGACGATACTTATAAACATTTTCAGACAAATTATTTAAACTTATGGGTTTAAATAAACATGGTAAAGTTCTTAAATTTATTGCATAATAACGAATAAAATCAATTAATTCGCATACATCGAATTCTGCTTGAATTGCAGTCTTCCCTTGACCCAACATAATTGCAGCATTTAAATTTTGTCTTTGAGGTCCTGCCATTACATCAGCAGCATTCATCCATATTTTATATTTTTCTTGAATAGGTGTTCGATACCATTTTTCTTTATTTTCTAAAGCCACCTTAATTGCTTCCTTTATATGAGAGGCGTTTGCATGATAAAATTCAGCAACTTGATTTTTATGTGCATGTGGCATTACTTGATAGTATGGTTCATTATCAGTTGGATATATTTCTTTAGTACCGATTACAATGGGAATTTTACAACGAGCATTAGCTGTATCAACTAAAGCTTTTTTTAAAGCGTTTCTTTCTTTAGAAGATTCTAAGTATTGTAGATTTGGTTCATTCTTGAATTCAGCTAAAAGAGAGATTGTTTGTTTTTCAAAAAATTATGTACATATGTATGTTTTTATTGTTTAATAAGCTTACAAAAATTTTTTGTCCGCAATGAAATAAATTTGTTACTGGTAACGCAAATTCTACGAAAACCAGTTATAACCGCATCACGGACATGTGGAAATTTATAGCACAAAAACATTTTCCCGAATTTTTTATTTTTAATTGAAGTCTTTTAATTAATTATAAACTGACAGCAAAAGCACAGAACTTAGAAAAATTTTATTTTTAAATTTTAAACATATGCTCACTTTTCAATACGAATTTGAAATGAAATAAATTTAGGTCTTTTTTAGTTTTTTCTAGCTTTTAAATAATTTCCATCTGACTTTTACATATTAATTTTATGTAGAGGAATTTGGAATCTAAAATTGAAAAATGGTACTATAGTCGTTTCATGTTAACTACTCATTGTTGTTTCTTTAACCTCTTTTACATTTCTACATGAAAAAAACTTGTCTTATTCAGCAAAACAGTTTAAATTCTTGAATAAATCAAATCGATTTAGAATTTGGGTTTTCCTCATCTGCCACAAATTACTACAAAAAAGTTCAAATTAATAAACCTATTAAAGTTACGCCAAATATTGTAGAAGATTTACTACAAAGAATTAGTTCTGAAATACCATTTAAAAGACGGTACTCAATATCGTGATCTCAAATTTAAAGCTCAAAGCTAGCTTGTAAATTTAATTGCACAATTGAATACTTTTACCATTACAAAATTGAACAATTATATTGTAACATTATTACTGTTATTGTATTGTTTTCTAATTGCAATAAAATTTTATTCTTTATTATCGCAATTAAATTTTAAAGCCTGATTAAGTAAAGTAAAATATTGTGTAAGGCAATTCCATTATGTGTATATATGTATATAATTTTATTTCTTAATTAACCAACCACAATAATTCTCTAATTATTTTTTCCTCTTCCTACAAGAGCTCTTATAGGGCAAAAACGTTTTTCTTCATTAATTTTCTAAATAATAGAAAAACCAAATAAAAATTCAAAAAAAAAAATTGAAGTAATTAACTTTTCCATTTTTCAAAAGATCATTTAAATTTTGATTTTAATTAAACTACTTTAACACTACTCCTTAGAAAAATTCAAGAAAATTTTATTTTTCTTTTACAATATACAAAAAAAATCAAATCAATTTAAAAAGAAATTTCAAAAAAAAAGAAGAAATTAAATTCAAAATCCAATATTAATTTGAATCAGATTTTAAAAATTAAATTTCCAAAATTTCCTATTCATTTTAAGAAAAAGATCAAAGTTACATAACGGTAATTAGATTTTCATTTACAATGTAGACATAATCTGTGTAGAAAAGTTGCTTCTTTGGAAATCTAAAAATATAACAAAAATGTTAAAAAAAAAATCTGAAATATTATTCAAAATTTCAATTAAAAAATGAGATTATTGAGAATTGAACAAGCCAATATTAGGTAAGGCTTTCACAAAAAAAAAAAAAAATCCAAAAAATTTTATAACCCAATCCTATACAAACATATAGTATTATAATTTTTAATCGGAACAGCACATCAATTACTCAATTTCAGAATATTAATGCCAATTTCAATTTTAAACTATTATAAAAGTTCAGTACGTCACCTAAAAATACGGCAACTAACTTAAAATATTAATATATTTTACACCTTCAATAATTTTTTGTTGGCAACATTGCAAACGGTTTACCAAATTTATAATAATCTTTGAATTACAAGCATTATGTATTAGTCATATTAAATGGAACACAAGAGTTGTAAATGAATTGAAAAAGCTTTTAATTCTAAAAAATTAAAAAGAAAAATATAGTACAAGAGGAATAAAAATCAGGATTTAAAATTGAATTAAATTTTAAAATCCTCAGAATAAGACAAAATTATGGCAAAACATCACAAATATCCAATCGAGTACAAAAACAGCACATACATAACACATATATACATAAATTTGTATGTATGTACATTTATTGCAAGCACCAAAATTAAACACAAAAAAAAAACTTAAAATTTATTAATCCCTACAATTTCTTTATTTTTTCAAAGAAACCATCTTCATCTTATTTAACCCTTCCAATAATTTCATGTGCATGTATACATAGATATATACATATATTTTCTTTAAGAAAATCTTAAGATTCACTTCAATTCAAAACCAAATGAAATCTACTGAGCTATTTATTTCTTAACATACATACATATGTACATGTAATAGCTATCACATAAAAATAGAGTTACCGTTTCAGTATTTTTTCTTCTAATTTTGTTAATACATTTTAAAACGCTTGCTTCTTACATATTTTTATCAGAATTTTATTATTGACTCAATTAATTATTGTAGTATTTCAGACATATAGTATATACAAAAAAAAGTTGTTTAATGGGAAATCCGTTTAGAATAAGAAAAATTTTTAAATTATATTTAGTAAATACTTTTGCTTAATTCGGAAATTTATGTCTGAATTTCAAAATAGACTATTATGCTATTGAACACATACATACGTAAAATCATTTTTTAAATCACTCTTCAAATTTAAATTTTCAATTGCATATTAAAGTAGTATAACGAATCAGAAACTCAAATACTTGCAGCAAAAAGTAATGTTTGCGACTGCTATTACAGTGATTTAAGAATTTAATTATTTTAGCATGGATTTTTATTTATTAAAACTGAATATTATATGGAATGTTTAAGACGCCAAATGCTTCTGCTTGTCAAAATCTTCTTGCACAGCTACCAATTTCAAAAATTTTTTGAAATTTAATTTATGAAATAATATTTGATATAAATTTGAGTCTGGTTGATCGTACCATACCTATCTGTTTTCAAAGGCCTCGAAAAAGAATTATATACATTATATTTTAACCAAAGTAATAGCCATCCAACATGTCCGATTAA